CTCAGAGTCAGAGCCTGGGTTCAAGTCCTATCCCTGCCACATGCTAACTGTGTGACCTCGGACAGAACCGGGACGCTTCCACTCACTGTGCCTCAGTTTCCTCATTGATGAAGTGAAAACACTGCCTTCGCTTGGGTTGTGGTTCGGATTAAATGAGATAATACTCATGGTGCCAGCTACACAGAAATCACTTGATGTCGTTATGCCGGTGATGGTGTTGATTCCCCATGTGTGTCTGTCCAGCTCTGAGCCCTCCCAGATCCTGGTCCCATCTTTGGAAGCCTTGTGGGTCCATTCGCACCTGGACATCTCTCTGGCGTGTCAGACTCAAAGACCTCCCCCGACATCGGCTCCATTTCTTTCTTTTTTTAATTTTTTAAAATGTTTTTATTTATTTTGGGGAGAGAGAGAGAGACAGAGAGAGAGAGACAGACAGAGAGAGAGAGAGAGAGAGACAGAGCATGAGCAGGGGAGGGGCAGAGAGAGAGGGAGACACAGAATCCGAAGCAGGCCCCAGACTCTGAGCTGTCAACACAGCACCCAACGCGGGGCTCAAACTCACAAACCGCGAGATCGTGACCCGAGCCAAAGTTGGACGCTTAACCGACTGAGCCACCCGGGCGCCCACGTCGGCTCCATTTCTGTCCTTACCTCACCATCCTCCTACTTGACCTCAGGGTCATCTCTGCCCATCCTCCCTCGCACCCCAATATCCAGGCAGCTGCCTCGTCCTATGACTTGCCTTCACCAGAGTGTCACCTGAACCTCTTCCTTTTCTGTTCCCACCCCCCTCTGGGGGAGGAGCCTGGTGGAGGCTTCCTTTGTTTCAGTGCCTTCACTCTGGTGATGTTAGTGGACCTCTGGGCCAAGTCAGAAGGGTTGGCGGGGATCAATGCCCCGTGGAAATTAAGCCAGGAGGAAGCAGGCAAATTAAAAGGGTGAATCAAAAGCTGGGGACACGGGGGAGAGGGAGGGCAAGGACAGAGTTGGGGCAGAAGCAGGTGGCAGGCTGGTGGGCAAAGATGGAGAAGTCAGACTCGGCCAAAGTGTGAGCAGGGCGGGCCAGAGCGGGCCAGTCTGGGCGTAGGGTGCTGGTGCTGTGTTCTTTCCTTACAGCCTTGGAGTAGACACTTCTCACATACACATCCCGGCTCAATGTTCCTTGCCCAGGCTGTGGCAACAGCCTCCCATCTTGCATCTTTCGAGAACTCTAGGCACAATGTAAATATTTAAACGTCAAAGTGACTTCCGATCGAAAGTTTTAAGTGCTTTTCCCATTGCCCGTTGAACAAAACCCGAACTCTTTTCTGTCATTCAAGGCCTGCTCGGTCTGGCCCCTTCCTGCGGTTCAGCTCTCTACTCTTGGGTCACTCTGAAATTCTGTAGATCGGTTTCCCACTTGTGCGGTGGGCAGTCCCATGTGGCCCTATTTGGAGGTAATTTCTCTTTCTAGGGAGAGAAGGAGATAAGAAAAGAACTTTATCTAGAAACTGCTGTGCTCACCAGCCTCTGTCTCCATCTGGCGTTGGACAAATGGATCAACAAATAAATAGATGGAAGAACGAAGCTGCCAGGGTCACACACATGGGTTCAGAGCCATCTGGCCAGGCATCGGCTCAGGCACTCTTTGTCAGTTGCTTCACCCCCTCCTCCCTGCAGCCCTGTGATTTCTTCTCTTTTCTTTCTTTCTTTCTTTCTTTCTTTCTTTCTTTCTTTCTTTCTTTCTTTCTTTTCTTTCTTTCCTTTTTTTTTTTTTTTTTTTAATCCTAAAGCTGTTTGTTGGGATAGTTCCCCACTCATGTTGACTCAGGGCTTTTAGTGCTGCTTCCATCTGAAGGAGCATCCTTCTGTGAGCCTTGCTTGTCCTTCTGTCGGCTGGCACAGGACGGTGGAGCAGCCCCCAGACAGCACCACGGTCTGCACGTGGCTGAACACGGTGGTGATTTTTTGTAGCGTCCTGGGCACTTCACGCCCGTCAAGTAGGAGTTGGGGCTCTGCGCCAGGCGCTGCTTCTTGGGCTTCCTCTCCTCCTCTTCCGGGGACGGGGGCAGGAGGTCCTTCGAGGGGCTTGTTCTTGTGGGTGGATCTTCGCCTCCGGAAAACCTGTGATTTCTGCATGAAACTGACCCTCAGAGAAGTTAGTAGATTGCCTCAGGTCGCTCAGCGTGTAGGCGGCGGAGTAAGATTCCAACCCAGGTGTTTCTTTTTTGTTATTTTATTTTGAGAGACAGAGAGAGAGAGACAGAGAGAGAGAGAGAGCACACTCACGTGCACGCACGCACGCATGCACGCGTGCGTGAATTGGGGATGGGGAGAGAGAGAGAAGGAAAGAGAGAATCCCAAGCAGGCGCCACACTGTCAGCCTGGAATCCAACTCGAGACTTGATCTCAGGAACCATGAGATCATGACCTAACCGAAACCAAGAGTTGATACGTAACCGACTGAGCCACCCAGGCGCCCCCCCCCCCCCCCGGTGTTTCTGACGCCCTGATCCAGGGTGTTCCGAGGTCAGTAGGGAAGAGCCCTGGAACCGTGGGCGTGGGTTGCAGAGCTCTGAATGTTGACGTGATAAACATATGGCAATTTCAAAATATAATTTTGTGCTAGATTATGGCAGTGTGTGGTGAGGTGGGATAAGTGGGGGGACTCTGGAGCCATCCTGCCTGAGTTTATGATCCTGACTCCCCATTCCCAGCTGTGTGAAATCTGTGAACTTTGGGTGCTACTTGCCCCTTCAGTGCCTCAGTTTCCACAACTGTAAAATGGAGGAAATAATGGGACCTATCTCAAAGGGTCGTTGTGAGGATTGAATATGTCTATATATACATGTAAGATGCTTGGCACAGTGCTTCAGAAGGACTGTGAAAGTGTTAGCTGTTGTTTTATTTTATTTAAGTAATTTTTACCCCCAACATGGGGCTCAAACTCACAACCTCGAGATCAAGAGTTGTGTGCTTCACCGACTGAGCCAGCTAGGCACCCCCATCCTTTTTTTTTTTTTTTTGTAGTATTTATTTATTTTGAGAGAGACAGAGCAGGGGAGGGGCAGAGAGAGAAGGAGAGACAGAGAATGTCAAGCAGGCTCCGTGCTGTCATCACAGAGCCCGACCCAGGGCTTGAACCCACGAACCGTGAGATCATGACCTGAGCCGAAATCAAGAGTTGGGCGCTTAACTGACTGAGCCACCCAGGAGTCCCCTGCCTTGGGTTTAGGTGGAACACATACCACCCCCATAGCTGCCGACACAGTCCACATCGTCACACACAAAAATAAGAACACGCTTGTTACACTCATCTTGGGTGTGTTCACAGGAGCAAGTTAAACGACCGAAGAAAAGAGGAAGGTGTGGAAGTTCTCATTTTGGCCTCGTCCCTCACGGCCAGGAGCCACCATCCAGTTAGGGCCACATAGAAGCACAGTAAGAATCAGTCCACCGTCCAGACAAGAACAGCAAAAGTGCCCATGGGGGAAAATCTTCATATATTCTGCCAGGGTCATCACTTTATCTGTATCTTTTTACATGATTTGTAAAGAAAAAAGGTGCAAGAGGGATGCCTGGCTGGCTCAGTCAGAAGAGTACACGACTCTTGTCATGAGTTCGAGCCCCATGTTGGGTGTAGAGATCACTTAGATAAATAAAACTTAAGGAAGGAAGGAAGTGGGAAGGGAGGGAGGGAGGAAGGAAGTGCAGGCAAGAAATATGCCATGATGCTTTGCATCCCCTCAGGAACAGGGATGCCAATTTTTTTAAATTTTATGTATTTATGTACTTATGTATTTATTTTTAATTTTAAATTTACACCCAGATTAGCTAGCATATAGTGCAACAATGGTTTCAGGAGTAGATTCCTTAGTGCCCCTTCCCCATTGAGCCCATCCCCCCTCCCACAACCCCTCCAGTAACCCTCAGTTTGTTCTCCATATTTATGAGTCTCTTCTGTCCGCCTCCCTGTTTTTATATTATTTTTGTTTCCCTTCCCTTATGTTCATCTGTTTTGTCTCTTAAAGTCCTCCTATGAGTGAAGTCATATGATGTTTGTCTTTCTCTGACTAATTTCACTTAGCATAATACCCTCCAGTTCCATCCACTGAGATCATGTGAGATCAGTTGCAAATGGCAAGATTTCATTCTTTTTGATTGCCGAGTAATACTCCGTTGTATATATATACCACATCGTCTTTATCCATTCATCCATCGATGGCCATTTGGGCTCTTTCCATCCTTTGGCTGTTGTCGATGGTGCTGCTATAAACATGGGGGTGCATGTGCCCCTTTGAAACAGCACACCTGTATCCCTTGGATAAATGCCTAGTAGTGCCATTGCTGGGTCGTAGGGTAGTTCTATTTTTAGTTTTTTGAGGAACCTCCATACTGTTTTCCAGAGTGGCTGCACCAGCTTGCATTCCCATTACTTTTTTAACGTTTACTTATTTTTGAGAGAGAGAGAGCCCATGCTTGAGCGGGGGAAGGGCAGAGCGAAGGAGACAGGATCCTAGGCAGCCTCCACGTTGACAGCAGAGAGCCCGATGTGGGACTTGGAGTCATGGAACCACGAGACCATGACCTGAGCCAAAGTCAGAAGCTTAACCTACTGAGCCACCCAGGTGCCCCGAGATGCCAATTTTAATGAAATTCTGGACAGCCAATGAAGAGATCTAAGTTACATCCCACAGGATAAAACTATGATCTCTGAAGTCTGGGCACCTTGAGAGAACTTTTACATATGACAACCGCAAGGATAGAAGGCGGGACAGGGCGTGACAGCCGCCCTCTGGGTGGCAGTTTCTAGGCAAGGTCTCCTCTGGCAGTTGCCAAAACAGCTCTCCCTTCTCTGAAGTTCCTTTCAGTAACAGCTGCTTCCCTCAGGAATCCCTTTTGTTGGAAATGCATGGGGTGGGGAGGCTGAAGCAAACCAGAGGTATTTGTTTATTTTTCACAAACGGAACACGGAGCCTGTAACATTCTCACTCAGCGATTCGCACCCCGAACGATGGATCTCAAAGGCTCCGAGAGAGTAACCCCTGCTGGTGGAGGTTTCGTGGGGGTCCCAAAGCACCCGGCCTGGAGAGGGGAGACCTGGGTCCACCCTGGTCATTGTCCTGCTTTATCACTTCCTGGCTCTGCTCTGTAGGTAGTTTCCTCTACATTTCTGGGTTCAGATCTCCACCTGTAAATATGAGTGAGCTCGAGCTTGAGGAACTGGGGGTAGGATTTGTGACAACGTGCCAGGCCTGTAGGCACTGACCCATGGTAGAGATGATTCTTTTCCTGCACTTCTGAAGCTCTCAGCTCTACGACAAAATTGAAATTATGTTACCACATTGCAGTTAGAATCTTGGGGTGGGGGGAGGGCAGCCAAGGCATCAGCATTTTGCAGAGCTCCCCAGATGATTCCATTGTGCAGCCAAGGTTGAGCAGGACTGCCTTACCCATCCTAAAAAAACTTTCCTTGGGGCGCCTGGGTGGCTCCGTTGGTTAAGCATCCAGCTCTCGATCAAGCTCAAGTCCTGATCTCACGTTTGTGAGTTCAATCAAGTCGGACATTGGGGTCTGTGCTGGGCGTGAAGCCCACTTCAAAACAAAACAAAACAAAACAAAACAACCCACAACCTTCCTTGACCCTATGTCAAATGACGGTCCTCTCTTCCCCTTTCTCTCTCTTTCTTTTTTCCCTTCCTCTCTCTTTCTTTTTTCCTTCCTTCTTACCTTCCTTCCTTCCTACCTTCCTTCCTAACTTTTTTCATTATAAGGATTTTTCAAACAAAAATAAACAGAAAAAGATGATGAACCCTCATGTACCCATCATGCAAGCCTCAACAACCACCAACTTTTGGCCAGCCCAGCTCTAGCCACACCATTTCTACTTTCTACCTTTCAGGATTACCTTAAAGTAAAGCCGGCTCTCCAGTCTTTTCATACATGAACATCTCGCTGTGTATTTCCTAAGAAAACATAAGGATGTTTCTTTTTATTGCAACCACAATACAATTATCACAACTAACTTTTCTTTACAACAAAGTTAAAAAAAAAAAAAAAGATCCTTAATGTGGGGCGCCTGGGTGGCTCAGTTGGTTCAGCATCAGACTCTTGATTTCAGCTCAGGCCATGATCTCATGGTTTGTGGGGTCGAGTCCCGCTTGGGATTCTCTGTCCCTCTCTCCCTGCCCCTCTCCCCAGCTTGTGCTCTCTGTCTCTTTGAAAAACAAATAAACTTAAAAAAAAAAAGTCCTTAATGTTTTCAAACATCCAGTTGGTGTCCAAATTTTCAGTTGTTTCATTAATGCTCTAATTTGGTTTCACTTTGTTTGAATTAGGATCCAAATAAGATCCGTATGTTGCAATTGATTGGCATGTGTTTTAAGATTCTTTAAAAAACTTTTTTTATGTTTTATTTTAGTTTTTAAAAATGTTTATTTTTTAAAATTTTTCTTAATGTTTATTTATTTTTGAGAGAGACAGAGACAGAATGTGAGTGGGTTAGGGGCAGAGAGAGAGGGAGACACAGAATCAGAAGCAGACTCCAGGCTCTGAGCTGTCAGCACAGAGCCTGACATGGGGCTCGAACTCACAAGCTGTGAGATCATGACCTGAGCTGAAGTCAGACGCTCAACTGACTGAACCACCCAGGCACCCCTAAAAATGTTTATTTTGAGAGAGAATTTTGTTTGCCAGCATGTGAGCAGGGGGAGGGGCAGAGAGAGAGAGGAGAGAGAGAGAATCCCAAGCAGGCTCCACGCTGTCAAGGGGCTCGATCCCACAAATCATGAGATCATGACCTGAGGCCAAACCAAGAGTCAGACACTTTAACCGACTGAGCCACACAGGTGCCCTTACAGATTTTAGTTTTAAGTAATCTCTACACCCAACATAAGACTCAAACTCACGACCCCGAGATCAATGCTCTACTGACTGAGCTGGCCAGGCACCCCTGTTTTAAGATTCTTTTAACCTTTTCTTTTGCACTGTATTTGTTGGAAAAATTAGACTGTTCTCTGGTAGAGTTTCCTATGGTCTGAATTTTGCTGGCTGTATTCCCATGGTAGAGTTTAACATGTTCCTTTGTCCTCTGGTTTTCTTGTAAATTGATGGTTGCATCTAGAAGTCTGATCTTACTCTGGGTTGGCTATTTGGGCAAGAGTATTGCTGGGTGGTGATGTGCTCTCCTGTCAGGAACACCCAGTATCTAGTTGTCTTTCTTCCTGATTTTCAGTGCCCAGAGTTCACTGGGGTGCAAGGTGGTGCCTGCCTTTTTTTTTTTTTTTAAAGTAGGCTCCCCAGCCAGCACGGAGCCCAATGTGGGGCTTGAACTCACGACCCTGAGATCAAGTCAGATGCTTAAGAGTCAGATGCCTCACTGACTGAGCCACCCAGGCACCCGTGCCCACAGGTCATTGCCATCCTTCCAACCCTATGCCATTTAGAGTTCATTCCCAACCCCCGACAACCACTATTCTGATGTCTGTCTCTTTGATTTGCATTTTCTGGACATTTCATATAAATGAAGGCAGGAGGTGTGGACTTGTGTGAGCACAAGTGAGCATAGGTTCTTTTTTTTCCTCTTCTTTTTTTTTTTTTTTTTTTTTTAAATAATCTCTACACCCAACACGGGGCTCGAACTCATGACCCCAAGATCCAGACTCACTTGTTCTACTGACCAATCCAGCCAGGTGCCTTGGAGCATGGGTTCTTAGCCCTTATGTGCATCTGAGTCACAGGGGAAGCTCTTCCAAAACTTGGATGCCTAGAACCCACCCGGAAAGATTCTGATTCGGTTGGTCTGGGCTGGGGCTGAGCAGCAGACTGTCTGAAAAGCTCCCCGGGGAGCAGGGCCCCCTGCTCTCTCAGCTTCTGCCAAGTAGAGTGGTCAGTCACACCCACCGCCACCACTTCCTCTCCTCCCATGTACTCCTTGACCATGACCATGTGGCTTCTGCCCCCACTACCCAGTGCTAAGACTGCTCTGGCAATGGCCTCCCAGCTGCTAAGTCTTATGCCCATTGCAGCCTTCCTTCTATTTGCTTCTGCTCACATCCTACTTCTTGAAACCCTCGGCTCCAGACGCCCACTCCCTCCTGGTGCCACTTCTCTTTTTAAATACTGGTGCTTCCCAGAGCCCTCCTCTTCTTACCTGACCTGATGATCTTACGCGTTGCTATGCTTAGTCATCACCCATGTCTGCTGGTGGCTCCAAAATCCCCGTTCCTCACCCAGTGTCTCTCCGAACTCCAGGTCCCACCATCAGGACACGGCCACGCACGTTTTCTTGCTGGCAGCGCAACCTTAACATCTGCAAAGCCGAAGCCACTCTTTCCCCCCAGCTCTGCTGCTTATTTATACGCTGTGGCACCAGGGCACGACGCAGGACGCTCCTTGACATCCAGTGTCCGTACTTGTAAAATGGCAATAATTCCCTGTGGTGGGTTTCCGAGGAGAGAGCCTGAGAGAAGTGCGGTGCCCACGGCGGGCACGCGGGCTGCTGGTTTCTGCTGTTCCCATCCCCCACCCTGAACTTCTCCTTATGTCAGTTTTCAGCTACTCACGGCAGAAACCCAAGGCTTCTGCATCTCATGAGCTGCTAATTCCGGTGGCTCCTACAGCTTTCACGTTTGCCCCTGTTTGCTATTCCTATGGTTCCTGCCCAAGTTCAGGGCTTCGTCTCTTTTTTTTGTCTGGCCAATCGCCTCAGCCTCCTTTTGCCTCCCAACCGGTCTCTAGTTGGTGGATGAAGTTATTCTTCTAGAAAAAAATCATAATTCTATAATTTTCTTGCTTGGGGTACCTGTCTGGCTCAGTTGCTAGAGCATGCGACTCTCTAATTAAAAAAAAAAATTTTTTTTTTTTAACCTTTATTTATTTTTGAGACAGAGAGAGACACAGCATGAACGGGGAAGGGCAGAGAGAGAGGGAAACACAGAATCGGAAGCAGGCTCCAGGCTCTGAGCCATCAGCCCAGAGCCCGACGCGGGGCTCGAACTCGCGGACCGCGAGATCGTGACCTGAGCCGAAGTCGGATGCTTAACCGACTGAGCCACCCAGGCGCCCCCAAAAAATTTTTTTTTAATGTTTATATTTATTTTTGAGACAGAGACAGAGCATGAGCGGGGAGGGGCAGAGAGAGAGGGAGACATCGAATCCAAAGCAGGCTCCAGGTTCTGAACTGTCAGCACAGAGCCCGATGTGGGGCTTGAACTCGTCAACTGCGAGATCATGACCTGAGCCGCTCAGACGCTCAACCGACTGAGCCACCTAGCCCGTCCTTAATTTTTTTTTAATGTTTATTCATTTTTGAGAGACAGAGTGTGAGTGGGGGAGGGGCAGAGAGCGAGGGGCTCGAACTCACGGACAGTGAGATCATGACATGAGCTGAAGTCAGACACTTAACCCACTGAGCCACCCAGGTGCCCCTTCGAGCATGTGACTCTTGATCTCAGGGTTGTGAGTTCGGGCCCCATGATGGGTGTAGAGATTACTTAAAAATGAAACCTTTAAAAAAATAGTAATTCTCTTGCTTAAAATTCCGTGATGGCCCCTAAGTTCTGTCCAAATTGCTGAGCTAAATAATTCAGTCCTTCTTCACTCTGGCCATCCCTTTTCTTCCCCGAAGTCCTCCCTTACAAACTTTCTCTCTTTTCTTACTTTTGAGCCTTGAACACCTGCTTTTTCAGCCTGAAATGTCTCCCCACCCCCTCCCTACCTCGTAACTCTGCCTGGAAAACATTACTCATCCTTCAAGGCCACTAAAACCACCTCCCCCTTCCTCCTGGACACTTAGTCATTTCTTCGTCTTTGCTCCCACGACCCTTGGTAAATGTTCAGCCACCCTTTGGCAAACACATCTGCTATGTGCCAGACAGTGTTCCCGAGGGCTTTGCAAATACTAACCCACTTAATTTCCATACAACCCTGTGAGGCGATTATTTTTGTTATCCCTGTCACAAAGGAGGCACCTTGAGGCCCTGGAGATGTTCAGTCACTTGCCCAAGATAACTCAGCTGGAGGTGGCTGGGGCAGTATTGGAACGCAGGCCTTATGGCCCCAGTCTGGGTTCTGGTTCCTCAAACTGGGCAGCCTCTCTACTTGGATGAATATCATTGAACACCTAGTGTGAAGCTAAATAACATGAAATCGCCAATACGTGACCATCTTTGACCTGTAAAAGCGGCACATTTGTATGGTTTGGTGTGTTAGGCACTTGAGACACAGCAGAGAACTCTCTGGATGGACGCACTTCTGTCCCTAGAGAGACAACAGTAGAGTGTGGATGAAGAACAAGGAGTCGACTGCGCATGTGGCCTGATTTAGGAGGTGTGCGAGCGCCCCTGCCGAGGAACTGATGCCCCAGAGAAGACCTGAAAGAGGTGTAGAGGTGGAGGAGGAGTTTGGGGTGAGGGGAAGAAGGGAAGGGACTTCCAGGCAGAGGCACAGGCTTGGAACAACATAGGCTGAGGCCCAAAAGCTAAGAGGAAGAGCTGCCCATTCTGTCACCCAGAAATTACTCCTTGGCGCAGAGCAGGTGTTCAATAAGGACTTGTCAAAAAAGTAAATGAAAACGGGGGTGCCTGGGTGGCTCAGTTGGTTAAGCGTCCGACTTTGGCTCAGGTCACGATCTCGCGGTCTGTGAGTTCAAGCCCCGCATTGGGCTCTGTGCTGATGGCTCGGAGCCTGGAGCCTGTTTCCGATTCTGTGTCTCCCTCTCTCTCTACCCCTCCCCTGCTCATGCTCTGTCTCTCTCTCTCTGTCAAAAATAAAAAATAAACATTGAAAAAAAAGACTCAATGAAAACAACGGAGAGAAGGGTCAGCTGGAACTGACACAACGAAAGCGGGGATCTAAGCAGGAGAGTGACGTACTTTTTTATTGTCTTCAAGTCAGGTTTAATGAGGTATCATTACAGAGAGCAAAATTCACCCTGTTTTATGCTTAGTTCTATGAGTCTTGGCAAACGCATCAGTGGTGCAGCCACCATCAGAGACAAAATATAGTTCAGTCCTATCCAACGCCCCCCCCCCCCCGCCCTCCGGGGGGGGGGAGGGGGCTGCTCCTTTGTGGCCCGCCCCTCCCCCACCCCGCCCCAGGAAACCACCAGTCTGTTCTCTTGCTGTGGTTTTTGCCTTTTCCAGAATGTCATGTGGATGAACTCAAATACCATGTAGCCTTTAGAATGTGACTCCTTTACTTAGAATACATTGGAAATGTGTCCCTGTCGTGTGTGTGTGTGTGTGTGTGTGTGTGTGTGTGTGCGCGCGCGCGCGCGCGCGCGCGCTCGGTTCCTTTCTTTGTTGCCCAGGAGAATTACCCTGCAGGGGAGTCTCACAGCTTGTTTACCATATACTCACCGGGTGATGGATTCAGATTCACTTTAAAAAGCAAACACCACTGCATCTGGTATGGATGGAGTGGGAGCTTCCGCGTCTCTGCCCTACGTCCGCTGGCTGGACGGTGAACGGTGGAGATGGGAACCATGTCTTTGTCGGCTTTACTGTCGGCTCCCAGCACCCGCCAGGGCACAGACGGTTCTGAGGGAGGAATGGAAGCCACATGGGGCAGAGTGTGGGACAGAAGGGCCAGGTGCAATCACTGAGAGTGAGGGTAGGGGGTGGGGGGCGCGGCGTGCAGATTGGGTGCTTGGCGTTGGGGGAGAAAGGCTGGGCAAGAAGGGCCTTTTTCTGAGAGTAGAGCAAACCAGAATGCCTGGTCTTCGACTTGGAGCAAAATGAGGAAGCAAAACAAAACCCTGCAACGTGCTATCCAGCCTTCTCCCCCCTCCCCCAGAGGGGCCACGAGTTCTGTCCTTGGCTCGAGGGCAGGAGGCTTCAGGTCTCCTCCTGGCCGACAGATGGCGATGTCGCACCGTGTCTGAGCTCGGCCTCTGCGGTCACCCACTCATTCAACAGACATGAGGGGCCCGTTAGCGGCTACACGCTGGCGGGAACTACCACCTTGTCCGCAACTTTTTTTTACAGGGAAAGGACTCACCCACACTCCTGAAGCTGTGCCTCATAGAGCAAGGGCTCAAACGCAATTTTCCCCTGCACCTTCCTCCTTGTACCGCCCCCATCTCTAGAGAGAGGACAGTTTGTGGAAACATCAGGCGTGGGAGGAGTCTACAAGGCAAGAGAGCAAAGGCAGAGGGGCCCGGTTGGTCTGACCCTGCCACCAATTTGCTGTGTGACCTCAGCAGACCTGCCTCTCCCCAGTCTCCACATCTGTAAAAAGCCGAGCTTCCAGCTGGAAAACCCTTGGTGCTGTGGAGCACACACATTCTGCTGGAAGCTTCCACTCACAACTAATCCTCCTATGCCAGGCAGACTGGAAAGGCTGCTGGTGACTTTTAGGTGCCTTCTCTTCCAGTTGATAAATAGCTGTTGATCTAGCACTAGGTTTGACACATAAAATACAGGCCACTCAGTTAAACTTGAATTTCAGATAATCGGATAAATTTCAAGTGTAAGTATATTCTAAATATCACGTAGGATATATTTATACTAAAAAAAGGGGGGCACCTGGGTGGCTTAGTTGGTTAAGTGCTCAACTTGGGCTCAGGTTCATGATCTCATGGATCGTGGGTTCGAGCCCTGCATGCGGTTCTCTGCTGACAGCTCAGAGCCTGGAGCCTGCTCTGGATTCCGTGACTCCCCCTCTCTCTGCCCCTCCCCTGCTCACTCTCTGTCTTTCTCAAAAATTTTTTTAAAAAGTTAAAAACAGGGGCACCTGGGTGGCTCAGTCAGTTAAGTGTCCGACTTTGGCTCAGGCCATGATCTCACGGTTCGTGGGTTCAAGCCCTGCATCGGGCTCTGTACTGACAGCTCAGAGCCTGGAGCCTGCTTTGGATTCTGTGCCCCCCCCTTTTGCGAGACTGCTCACACTGTCTCTCTCTCTCTCAAAAATAAATAAACATTAAAAGTAAAAAAAATTTAAAAATTTAAAAACAAACTTGATGTTTGTCAGAAATTTAACTAGGTGCCCTGTATTTTTATTTCCTTAATGGGACAACCTTGTCCTGCCCACAAACCCCTCTTCCAGGACCCCCATGTCTTCGTCCTGATTGGCTAGTCCCCAATGTAGCTGGTTGTTCAAAGTTCTTTCCCCCCCTAAGGTTTTATTTTTAAGTAATCTCTACACCTAGCACTGGGCTCCAACTGGAAACGGGGAGATCAAGAGCCACAGGCTCACTGGACCGAGCCAGCCAGGCGCCCCACTGGTCCTTACATGTTTTGACAACCACCCCTGACTATGGGCGAGGGGGCCAAAGCATAACCTGTTCTCTGTCTTTCCTTCCCAGGCCTGGCGCTGCTGCTGCCCCCCGCCACTCTGGCCGCCCTGGCAGACAGCTGGCTCCGAGAGGACTGCCCAGGTCCCAACCACGCAGCCTTGGTGACGGGGGCAGCCCCCGCGCAGGCGGCGCTGTGGGCCAAGTCCGCCGGGGTACTGGCCGGGAGGCCTTTCTTCGATGCCATCTTCGCCCAAGTCAACTGCCAGGTCTCCTGGCTCCTCCCCGAGGGCTCCAAGCTGGCGCCCGTGGCCCAGGTGGCCGAGGTCCGGGGCCCCGCCCACTGCCTGCTGCTGGGGGAGCGGGTGGCCTTGAACACGCTGGCCCGCTGCAGCGGGGTGGCCAGCGCCGCGGCCACGGCAGTGGAGGCCGCGCGGGGGGCCGGCTGGGCCGGGCACGTGGCGGGCACGAGGAAGACCACGCCAGGCTTCCGGCTGGTGGAGAAGTACGGGCTCCTGGTGGGCGGGGCCGCCGCCCACCGATACGACCTGGGAGGGCTGGTGATGGTGAAGGACAACCACGTCCTGGCAGCCGGTGGTGTCGGAAAGGTGCGTGTCCGGCCGGGCCCCTGCCCGGCCCCGTTCCCACCTCCCCCGCCGCAGCCCTTCCCCTCTACCTGAGACTCCCCGACCACGCCCTGGGGGGTTGGGGGGGTGTTTTTGGCCCCCCCCCCGGCCCCCCCCCCCCCCCCCCCCCCCGCCCATGTAAAAGAAGCCATCCTGATGCCAGACGTTCTCATGAACCCAAGCTTGTTATCCCCCCGGGGCCCTTCCAACGCCAGGCCCAGCTCACTGTGCCCCGTGTCAAGTGCCCCTGTCCTCGCCCTCACCCTCCCGTCCCCTCTGCCCCCTCTGCCCGACAGGCGGTTCGAGGCGCCCGGCAGGTGGCCGACTTCTCCCTGAAGGTGGAGGTCGAGGTGGGCAGTCTGCGGGAGGCTGTGGAGGCGGCCGAGGCAGGCGCAGACCTCGTCCTGCTGGACAACTTCAGGCCCGAGGTAAGGTGGGGTCTGCTTCCCGGGAAGGGGCCGCCGTCCCGCGCTCTCACCTCCCCCCGGCTTGTGTTTGTGTCCCGCAGGAACTGCACGCCACGGCCGCTGCGCTGAAGGCCCGCTTCCCGAGTGTGGGCGTGGAGGCCAGCGGGGGCATCACCCTGGCCAACCTGCCTCAGTTCTGCGGGCCCCACATTGACATCATCTCCCTGGGGATGCTGACCCAGGCTGCCCCGGCCCTGGATTTCTCCCTCAAGCTGTTTGCGGAAGGCGCCACTCCAGTGTGCCACGCCTACCGGACCTAAAGCCAAAGAGGGCGCCTCTGGCAGGGGAATCACAGTTTCTTGGGCCCCTCGAGTCTGCAGTACAGGACTCTCGGGGCGTTAGCCTGGGCTGACGTCTGGCTCTGCCTATGTGGGGGTGGAGGGGCTGATTTCACCTCTGCTCATCTGTAAAATGGGTCTGATAAATGATCAACCTTATGAATTTCTTTGGGTGATAATTAACACATAAGAAGTGTTCAGTAACTCTTAGAAATTCCCATAGTCCGTCGATTCTGAGATAGGCCTTTTTTCACATACTACCTTCTCCCACGTCAAAGTGCGTCTTTAACCAATGGCGTCTAGTGGTCACCATCAGCCAGGCGTCAGTAATCACATAGCCATGCATCATGGCCCTAGCATGCAGCTTGTAGATAAAACATGATAACAATCTATGTTTGAAATAAGTCCCAGACAGCTCTTTTAGCAAATACCAGAAAGAACTGCTACATGATAAGAAAACATTGGTCGAAGTGTAATTGACAAGTCTCTTTTCCAGTAATAGCGTGTGTGTTTTAAGGTCAATGGCAGTTTATATCTGAGGGTATATGGCATCAGGTCTGTATTCAGCTAGAACATTCCACTGGGTCGATGCCCGTGTTGTACTGGTATTCAGTGTGTTCCCTCTCTCCTCTGACTCCTGTTACCACCTCCTTGGAGGAGGTGAGAACCTGACCATTCACTACCAGGGTTTCCAACCTAGATGTGCATCGCCATTGGGTGCCGAGGGCCTTTTAGGTTCTGGTCCCATAGCGCTATCATCAGCTGGGAAAGGAAGGTGGGCAGCTGGGGCCAGAGCAGAGGTCACCTGAGGGAGGAGGGATGGGGCAGGTGGAAGTCCATGTTCAGACATCAACTTTTCCTGCTAAGTCAAGACTCAGGGGTCTAAGCAGAGGATCTAAATCCAGCTTCCCAAACACACTCACACACCTGAGGTATCACTCACTTGTTTGGCTACTGTACCCTCACTCCAAGCCCGGGGAGCTCGCCTCTCTCTAACCCTTCGGGCAGGAAAGGACATGAGGGGTCCCTCAGGGCAAAGCGGCTCCTGAGGTGACTTTCCAGAAGGGCTCCCTTCTGGAGCCACCTCTTCCCTCCTAGAACCCACTGTCTTCTCTGCCCTTTGCCAGGAGGAGAGAAAAACAGCTGGTCCACAAAGCCCCTTCCCCAGGGAGAGCCTGGGGCATCCCAGTCTGCCTTGAGGGAGGTAACCTCAAGGGGGGAGGTCTCCCCCCTGTCAGTGCTGGAGACCCCTTGCTGGGAAGGGAGCAGATCAAGAAAACAATGAGCTCATCTCAGATGTGAAAGCCCCAGACAAGCCAAGACCATCATTCACACACTAATTATGCACTGAGTGCCTGCTGTGGCCAGGCTGAGAGCACAGAGTGGAGAATAATCTAGCAAAGATGCGGGGCGGAAGTGGTAAGCTGCTGCCTTTGGTGATGCCCTGGTCTGAAGGGACCATTCTCACAGGACACAGCCCAGTCGTGCCACCTGGGGCCGCACCTGTTCTCTAATACACACTTCCACCCCTGGGTCCTCCTGTCCTTTCTCCAGGGAAAACAGTCATGCTCGGCTAGGCAGACTTCCCGGCTCTGGAAGAATTTAGATCTCTGAGCCTCAGATCCCCAGACCCGGAGAGGCATAACTGAACACCGATAGAACTGGGGGGATGGGGGGGGGGCACTTCTGAGTATCAAAATAAGGAAGTCAGGATTCCTGGATGTGCTGGGAATGGGAAGGCAAAACACTTGGGGTCCAGGAGGGAATCAGTGCCTGACAGAGGCAGAAGGGAGAAATGTACCAGGAATCTCAAACTCAAAGCCTCCGGGACCTAAGCTGATAAAATACTTGGGAGAAGCTGGAATAAGACAAAGCTGAGTGGGCGGCGGCCAACGGCACCCACCAAATCCCAATTAAGACAGAAAAAAGAAATCTACCAGGCTGAGTCTCAGGCTGCCTTGAAGGCAGAAATGGGTCAGCCCTACAGGCACCTCCAGATTGGAGAGCTGGGAGAGGATTCCATTACCAGAGGAAAAGGAAATGGATCCTGAGCAGGCAAAAACAACACATGCCTTCCTTGCCAGGGAGTGGATTTCCAGGCAGAGGGGAGGGCAAGGGCAAAGGCTCAGAGGTGGGAAATGACTTGGATTGTTTGGTGGAAGATTTGAAGATGGGATCAAGAGAGGCGAGATGGCTAGGAGCTGGGCTGGGTCCAGACCACGAGATGGTAGGTCAGAGGACTTGGACTCTGTCCCGAGAACAATCAGACCGAAGCTGGAAAGTGAGATAAGCACATTTGCAGTTTAGACCGAGTCCGTGGCACAAAGATGCGTTCGAGGGGGCTGCAGTGGCTGCAGGGAGCCCAGGAGGAGGCTGATGCAGCCCCTCAGAGCTCTGAATGTGGGTTGTGGCAATGTGGGTGGAGAGAAGGGACTGCGGTCAGAGGGAACAGCATGCGCAAAGGCTCAGAGGGC